TAGAGTCAATGAGGAGAGTTGGGTGCCTCTGAAAAGTAATCCAGGTTTGGGCCCTAAGGCCCACTAGACAGAGAATGGGGAGAGCAGGGTTCAGAAAGCCTGGAGGTAAGTAGAGGTAGCCAATGGGAAACATACAAGTTCGGTCTCCCTCTTGCCCCTCTCCAGAGTTTAGGCACCTCTATGTACTTGCAGTTCACAAAGCCTAATCCTATCCCTGAGGATGGAGAAGGGAATGGGAGAGCCCAGGACTCTTCCCTCCCAGGGAAGTACCCTTAGCATCTACAGAACTATTTTCATTGGCTCTGAGGGCTTAAAGTGTGCCTCTTTTTTTTCCCCCTCCAATTTCAAAAGGACATCTTGTTTTTAGAAGTAGCCTTCAGGGCTACACATCAAATTGTTTAAAGAAAGGTTTTCTATAAGTTAACATTATGCAGTTATACACATTTCCTTCCTCAAAGGCCAACTGGGCTGAGAGAAACAATGTTGTCTCTAATTAAAGCTCCTGTAAATCCCATAATTATGCGTGTCTTCATGTCTCTCTCACAAGTCTGATGGATGGATGCTTTCACTATAATTTCTCAACATCAGAAGTGTAGTTTTGCAGAATATTGCTAAAGAAAATAATGCCAAGTATGGCATGGTGAGCTGTTTAATTGGCTGTCCTCCACTGTAGACCAATAATGAATAACTCTCTTGTTTCGTAATTGACAAGGGCTAGGTTGTGACACACACTTGCAGTGGATATTACTTCCACTTGGGAGCACCATATAAATTAGGACTGTCCAACTTCTAAGAGGCCGGGGGCCACACTAGTGCAAGACATGGAACCCCAGGCTGCACCCCCTACACACCACTATACCATGTCATGGGCTTCCCTGGTGTCATGGGCTGCACCACCCCACCACATACCCTGGGGCAGGAGCAGGAAGTGAAAACTCACAGAGTTGGGGAGCCTAGAGACCCCAGTTGCAGCATCAGCTGGATAGATAAGGGGGCAGTGGCTCAGTAAAAGCCTAAGGGTTATACATCAACACCTCATGGTTTGCATACTGCCTCCAGGCCACCAGCTGGACAGCCCTGGTATGAATTAAATAGACCATGCCCTAAATAGGCTACCAATACCGTATGTTACCATGAGAACCACATTTTTACCCACAGAGTTCAGATATGCGGATTTAGGTCTCAGCTTTCTCAAAACTGAGTGTTGCTTGGTTCTGGGATATTGATTCATACTAATCTTTCATTTCAATGGCAGTCAATATAACAACAAGACAGTTGCACTAAATCAAGATTTTGCATTTGTATATATTGAAATCCTATGTGCCTCAGTATGACAGCCCGTTGACCCAACTAAACAAATGATGAGAAGTGACTAGTTATGTATCCTGGAGATGTATTATTTTAACAGAGGTACATTTTTCAGGGGTTATATTTGCATAGTGCCTAAACATTTTATCTTCATTAGTTAGCCTGCTATATTAAATAGTTGGGGTTAGTTTAACCCCAAATGTAAAACAAATAAAATCAACAAAATTAGAACTAGAGATTAAATCAATGCACAGTCTTTCAAAAAAATTAATTATTGTTACTGTTTGGTTTTTTACAATTACATTTACAATTCCCAAGGTACGGTCATTGATGGATTTGAAGGCCACCAGTAAAATCAATCTAAGAAATTCATTTATTAAGACACTATATAGTGCTATAGTACTTAGTACCTCTGGTTAGGAAGAATCTAGTCAGAGAATTGTAAGCAATGGGAATTTTGCCTATTAAATATTCCCAGACTGCTGATTAAGTAATAGTTGTATCCACCCCTAAAGCAAATCAAGTTTCTGCTACATAAGAGGGCTTAACTTAGGAAAAGAGCATGATTTGTATGTTAGCTTAAGTTTAATTTCCTGTCAACCTTATACTTGTAACATGCACCTGTAGAGTCTAGAGGTCACCGTTTTAAGTACTGTGAAGAGGGAATTTGTTAATGTAATAGCATGTTGGTGATCTTAGTGAATTGCTGAAATGGCCAAAGTTTATTTGAAGAACATGCTAAAACATTAAACAACAAATTTACAAAATCACATTTAGTAAAAAGATATTATGTGTCCTAAATTCAGTTATGCTGTTTTGATCTAAGAAAGTAAAACTTTACATTACAGTGGGGTTTGCTTTTTTGGTGGGGGGGCGGTATTTCTTGCAGTGTATGTATTTATGTGGAACTGTACTAGTAGATGTACTGCATGGTAGGGCTGTGTGAAGCTTTGGTCCCTGATTCAATTCGTCAGAGATTCGGCCCGATTCGGTGGCTGAATCTCCGAATCCAAATTGAATCAGAGGACCCTTAAATCTCTCTGAGTCAAATCGGAACCTTCCAAATTGATTCAGAAAGATTCAGCAATTTGGACATAGAAAAAACACTTAAAGCTGTGTCTACATACCTCTAGGTAGCAAGTGGCTCATGAATGCTGCTATGCTGGGGTACATGGAGTGTCCCACAGAAGCACGGGAGTGTGGGGGGTCCCCAGCGTGCTTGGCAGCAGATTTGGAAATGGACCAGAAGCACTTC